GGGGGGAACCAAAACATCATTGCAAGTAGCTGGCACTGGGCGTCTTTCGGAGGATGGGAAGCACCGGATGGTGATGGAGATGCTTCTGTCACCCGGGCTTTGCATTTGAGGTGTCCCACAAGTGGGACACGAGCGCTGAGTCCCAGAGCTGCCCGAGGACGTTCCTGTGTGTGAGACATTTGGAACGGGTCGCTGCTAACCTGGAAAGATTTGGGGAAGGCGCTTGTGTTGCTGAACACAGAACGAGTCAGTTCTATGCAAAACGTTTGTAAGTCGGGTTTGCCTTTAATTTTTCTCATTCATCTTTTTCAAGTGGATAAAGCGAGAAAAACGTTCTCGCGTGCCACCTCACCCTTCCAGTGCACAAGTGCCGCTGTCCATCGGATCCACACCTTTGGGTTTTGTCTTCAATATCATGCTGTCGTGCCAGTTTTCGAAGACAAGCAACTGAGTGTCTGATCTTCTAACTGTGAATTCGTAACACCTGCCAGGCTTCAGGTTGTGGACTACACATGTGTCCGAGGTGACTGTCTGAACCATACCGTATCCCGGTTCTGCCTTGCTCCCATTTGTCAGTAACTTCATGAGCAGTTCACACGGTTCCAGGACTGACTCTTGATTTTCAGTAAACCACTTCAGCTTGGCCCAGTCCTCCTGTGCAAAGGATTCATTTCGATCAAAAATCAGTGGCATCTTTGCATGGAGAGAAATCCTAACGTTGAGTTCAGTATGTCTAAGATCCACGCATGACACCAAACGGTGCTTGACATAGATCTGTCCTGGCACTTCCAAGGAAAGAAGAGTTTCCATCAACTCGGAGAGCGTGGACAGTTTCTGCATAATCACGTCCCACTGGGAGAGGAAAGTTGTCACGTCACGGGTCTCTACGTAACTGCTCAGCTCCTCCCGCCCTTGTTCCAGCAGTTCTAACAGCTCGGTTAAAAGTGACAGCTTGATTTGAATCTGGTTTCTTCCCACCTCCTTCACCCTCTGGAGTCTGCAGGGGTCTATCAGTTGCAAGATGCTGGTGCAATGCGTCACATGGTTGTCTCTCACGTTCACGCATTTGGGCTCAATCTCCAAGTAAAAGTAACATTTCTTCAGGAGCTCAACTTTGATCTGGTGATGCTGGAGGTAGTGGAAGCTCAGGTGGGAGTGCAGGAACTGCAGAACAAGGCTTCTCCTTTCCAAGTACTGCTCCCAGCTGGCGCTGCCTTGTTCTGCGCTGCGCGCTGTGCTCTCCGAACTGGTTTCGAATTCATTTCGCTTCGCAGCCATAATTCCAAAGCTCGGGTGCTGTGTCAGAAAGCAGCAATAATAACATTAAGAACCAAAGGAAAAGCAGCTGTGAGGGAGTATAATCATGGCTGTGACTCTTCTCTCTTAATTATAAAGCTTAGCTTATAAATTGTAGATGGGAAAGAACTGCTAGACTATGGGTGTAATTCCAGAGGAATTTTCCTTTATTGTTGTACAGTTTCTAATGTTTTGTATCGTCTGCTTTTATATATTACAACCAACTGGTCTCATGCTACCCCCCCTTGAGAGATTCTACCTCTGCTTAATAGATTCACTGTCAGGAACTATTCTCTGATACGCTCTGCCAAAATTTCTCCCTATCTTATTATCTTGTTTCATTCTAATTAGATGCCTTTGTACTCCTGTAAGCAATTTCTTTCCATTCTTCTACATCTCTGGAGATGTCTTTTTTTTTTTTTTTTTTCCCCTTTGTACTCTGCCAGGCTGTTGAGGTTTGAGACCCATCTTCTAAGCCAATTCCTACAGCTACATAATCACCTTGGTGATTCAAATTAACCCTCTGCCCCCAAGCAAGGTGGCACGCAGCAGGCAGAGAGCCGTGCAGTACGCCGAGTGCCACCTCACAACAGCTTTCAAGAGGAGCGCTTGCGTTTTTCCTTGCACCTCTGCCTTCAACAGTGGATCAGCAGTCATAGCCTGACAGCTTTTTCAGCAACGTATGGCTTTCCCTTCCTTTAGTTTTAGTTTACATCATCACTTCGGTCCATAATATCCCTCATTTTCTTGTAGAACACTGTTAATCTACAGACAAGGTACGGTAAGAGAATGAAACACACGTAAAGCACCTGTGAGCAGGAAACGGGTCGCTGTTACGAAGGTGTTTCTGGAGTGGTCCTATGCGAGGCTGTATCTTCTCTTAGTCCTGGTTTACCGGCAAAGCCGCGCTCCGGCTGGCGGTGCCTGCTGAGCCAAGATGGAAGGTATTTCTCCGTCGTGTTTTAGCAGAAGTACCCGCAGCTCACACAGCCTACGTAGCATAAACAGCCATTAGCTAAATAAAGGCCTGTGGCCCTGTCGCCGGTGATACTGTAACGAGAACCCAGCTTGACACTGAGAATGTGGCTCTCAGATCAAGCTGGACACACTCGAAATAAATACGGAATCCTGAAAGGAAGATTTTTGTGACCCCAGTCAGGCTGCGATGATACCTTCTGGCAACAGGTAACCTTCCTCACTCTATGTCATTTTCTGGTTATATTTGAATTCTTGTAGTCTCTAACTGGGATATTTTAATTCTTACGTGTCCTGTAGAAGCTAGGTGGTGATATCTAGTTGACAAAGCAATTTTTCTTGGCCTCGTTTTCCCTAAATGCTTTACCAAACTAATAACACTTCCTCGCAGGAATTGCAAGCGTTCGTAAACCTTTCAGACGTCTGGCCCCTAGCTGCACTACAATTTATCCCAAAATTCACTCATTCGCAGCAACGTTATTTCCAAGAGAGCTGTCAACTTAAAAAAAACAAATCTGTATTTCCTTTTCACTTTTTTTCTTTCCACAGAAAAAAAAACAAAACAAAAAAAAACACCCCCCGCAACCTAAACCAAAGCAGCGCCGGTTCCTGGCATCCCCGTATGGAGTGCAGCAGGGACAGCACATGCACCAGGTTACACTGCTCCGCTTTCAGAGCAGCTTGGCTCGCTGAAGCAGTCTGTTTGCCCACAGACAGAGCTGTGATTGTGCTTGTTTTCCCTTTCTGTTTTTATATCCTTTTTTTTTTTTTTTTTTTTCTCCCCTTCTT